GTAGAGCCGGCGCGTGCTGTGGCGGGAGGTGGGCGCCAGCCACTCGCGCAGGGCCTTGAGGGCCGGCCGGCTCTCGGGGGCACAGAAGACCACGATGGGGTAATACTGCACGTAGTTGAGGCGCTCGATGGCCGATGGGGTCACGTCCAGGAGCGCGTGCTTGTCCTGTCCCGTGGGGTGGGGATTGAGAGAGAACACACTCGACGAAGAGTCTGCGGTCAGAGGGGACCCCAACGCTCACAGCCACAGGCCAGCATGTTGGGGTACACCGCTCAACACCTCCAACAGCGGCTCCGCGGGGGGCCTCCCCGGTGGGGCGTGGGAATGGGCCAGACCACATGGCCGGATGTCCAGGCCTCGGCTCCCGCATCCCTGACACGGGACCTCAGCGGAGACTCACTCACCTTCTCCGCGATCACCCGCACGGTGTCCAGTTTGACGATCTTGGAGGGGCTGTCAGCCCGAGATATGCTTTCTGTGGAAGAGGGAGGTGACAGTAGCTTCACGAGGTGCCCCAGCACCACTGGATCTGACCACCCTGGGGCCTCTTGGCAGTGGGACCCTGCGGTGCACGTCCTTCTGTGCCTGGCTTGGCTCCCTCAGCAGCAGGGCCTCAAAGTTCATCCACGCTGTGGCAATGACAAGAGTTCCTTTTCCTGGCTGAGTAATATTCCAGCACACAGAGGGGCCCCCCACTGCATGTATCTATTCCTCTGCAGATGCATACATGGATTTTTCCCACTTCTGGCTGTTGTGAATTGTGCTGCTGTGAATACAGGTATGCACGTATCTATTTGAGTCCCTGCCTTCAATTATTTTGGGTATAGGCACCCAGAAATGGAATTGCTGGATCACATGATAATTTATATTTGATTTTTTTGGTTGTTTTTTGAGACACGGTCTCATTATGTAGCCAGGCTGGCCTCAAACTCATGGTGATCCTCCTGCCTCAGCCTCCTGAGTTCTGATTACAGGCGTGTGCAAACACACCTGGGTAATGTTTGATTACTTCCCTTCCCCAAACCCTGGGTACAGGGAGTAGACTTAGTGCCTCCTAAGTGTTTAGGCAACTGCTCTACCACTGCGCCTGAGGTCGGACAGGTCCACTTTCTGTGTTCTTGGTGCTGGGGATGACCCAGGACCTACTGTGTGCTGGACAGGTGCTCACCACTGAGTTGCAAGCTTGGTCCTTTTTATTTATTTTTAAAAATTTGAGTCAGAAGCTTGCTAAGTTGCCCAAGCTGGCCTCAAACTTGCAACCCTACTCTTTTTTTTTTTTTTGGTACGGGACTTGCACTTGCAAGGCAGATGGCAGCAACACTGAGCTAAATCCCTGCCCCCCCGCCTTTTTATGACCAAGTCTCACTTTCCAGGCTGGGCTTGAACTCCCAATCCTCCTGCCTCAGCCTCCTAAATTAAAAGTTTGGTTTCTTGAGCCGGGTGTCATCCCAGCACTCGGGAGGCTGAGGCAGGAGGATCACTGTAAGTTCAAGACCAGCCTGGGCTACATAGTGAGTTCCAGGTCAGTCTCAACTACATAGTGAGATCCTGTCTTAAAAAAAAAAAAAAAAAAAAAAAAAAAAAAAAAAAAAAGAGTTTGATTTCTAGAGGAGTGACTGGTCTGTTGCCCAAGGTGGTGGCACCATGCTCCCACCAGCTGTGCACAGGGTTCTGGCTGTTCATCCTCACCAGCTGCCACGATCTCCCGATCTTTTGTTTTCACTCCAGTCACCTAGGAGTGGTCATGACTTCTCCTGGTGTGGACCTGGGCTTCCCTAATGACTAAGGATGCTGCCCACTCCGGCCCCTCCCGGGAGCCTCTCCCACTCCATTCCCTTCCCTGGAAACCTGCGTGTCCGATTCGGCTTTTGGAAAAGCTTCCCGGATGTTGCTGAGTCCACAGCGGCAGGAAGAACACAAGGAGAGGGCCTTGTGCTGCCCACAGGGCCCTGTCTCCCAAGGGGTTCCGATCTTACTCAGAGCTGGGCACAGTGGCGTGCTGCCCCCTCTCCCGCCCCAGCGCTCCAGGATGCTGAGACGGGTAGACTGATTGCAAGTTTGAGGCCAGCATGGGAAACTTGGCAACTTGGCCAGCTTCTGTCTCAAATTTTTAAAAATAAATAAAAAGGACCGGGCTTGCAGCTCAGTGGTGAGCACCAGCCCAGCACACACCCGGGGCTGGGTCATCTCCAGCACTGAGAACACAAAAAGTGCAACTGTCGGACCCAAGGCCTACAGATTTCTAAGCCCCACACAAGCATCACTGTTTCCACAGCTGTCGATCCTTCACCTGCTCTGGGGGCCTTGCCTGCCCTGGTTCATGATGTCCCCACAGCCTGTTGTGTCTGACCTAGTTCCTTACCTGCAATCTCAAACTGGTCAGGCATCTCCACTGTCAGCTTCTGCATGGCAATGTCTGTCATGGGCCCCAGGATCACCACCGGACGCTTGAAGCTGGCTGAGGAGCAGCATAAGAACAAGAACCAGG